ACAATGCCAAGATTATCCGTGTCTCCTTGAAGGATGTGCCTTTGCCTCCGCTTGCCATAGCCTCCCTTGTTGGCCTGGTGAACTACTTCGTCTTTGGTACCCAGCTCCTCTGGGATGTTTTCCCTGACCCTCCCTCATCTTTCCCGAGGAGATCTTTCTCCCTCTGGGCCACGCTGGCACTTTGTTCATGCCTCCATGATAACACACCTCAGGTTGGATTATAGAGACTCATTTCTGCACCTGTTTTTCACGCCAGACTACGAACAACTCAGGTGATTGTGTCTTAGTCATCTTTGTAATTGCCCCAGTGATGAACTCAGCACTTATGCAGAGCATGGCACATAGAAGATGCTCAGTCAATGTGTGACCAAACTTGACTCATCAAGTCCTTGCTGGTCTCTCTGCTCTGAACTCAACAACACTCAAGTTTGTCCACAGCACCCGGCCCAGGTGCACACACAATGGACTCTCCATATGAATGAGTAATTGCACCATTCTGTGCTATTTAGTTATATCTTGTAATAGTAGTAGTAATAATAATAATAATACATGGCATTTATTGAATGCATAATATGTACCAGCTTCTGTGCTAAGTACTTTAAATTCATTCTCATTTAATCCTCATAATAACAATATATTATCATCTTCATTTTACAGATGAAAAATTTGAAGCACAGAAAAGTTAAATGACTAGATCAAGATCACACAGATAATTTGTGATGGGTTTAGGATTTGAGCTCAAGCCTGTCAGATTCTAGAGTCTATATCTTAGTCAGCCTTTATAAAGCTACTTGTGTTACTTATTGTTGTAACTGTGTCTTTTCTGGTTGGTTGGGTGTCTCTTTGGTTTGGTCAGTGGCTGTACTAAAACTGTTCCTTAAGTATTTTGCACAATCCCCCCTGGTAGATCAGTGTCTTGATTTTATCATGATCATCTCTGCTAAGTTTCATCTTCTGGTCTTGTGGCTCCAGGATGCCAGGTGCTTTAAGGGTACCCAAGATTTGTTTTATTCAGTATGATAAGACACACATATGTGGAAATTATTGTCATGAAGGAAGAAGAATTCTCACAGATCCCTAGAAACAGGAGGCATGGCCCTCCATGCAGGACCACATGAGGAAGCACCAGGGTTGGTCAGGAGACGGAGGGGGGGAAAACGTGCGTAAGAGCCTTTATTGTGGTTTCCAGAGGGAAGGAGTGGAAGGGTAAGCAGGCTTAGGATTGGCAAATTTGAACAGTTCCATGAGGCTCTGGGGCATTGGGCTGTCCCCAGTTGCCTGAGGTGATTAGGCCCTGGGGTGATTAGGGCAGGTGGGTGGTGGCTGAGTGGGAGAGCCTGATCAAGACGATGGTTGAGTTATGGGCTGTGGTTGGTTGGTTTGCATGTAGAAGGCATGCTCATAAACGTCATCAGGCCCTGGCATCTGAAGAAGAAACCAATTTTGGAGAGCTGGATTTCAACTGGGTCACTAGTAAGAGGTTTTTATTCTTCAGAAAATAAGTAAATAAATAAAGATTGCTGCTTTTTCTTTTGAATCACAAGAACAGGTGTTTGGTGGCACAGAAATGACATTGATTTCTCTCCTTAGCTTGCCCTGGGAGGGCAGTCTCTCCAGGGTCAGCAAGGCCCTAAATGTTAAAGCATCGAAATACAGAAAATAAAAAGACACAGTTAATACACTAAGGAACGTGGATGCTCGAGAAAGACAAACTGTGGCTAACGTGGCATGGCCTAGGAAGGAAGGACATCTTCGTCTGTGCCCAGGGATCTCTCTGCAATAGGAAATGCATGAGGAGCGTGCCAGAATGTTAGCAGAGCAGTGTGGCTCAACCTCCCTTACTCTGGCCTCAGTTCAGTCTCTGTCTCTCATCGCCATAGCGCAAACATCCACTCCTGTTTTGCTGTTCATTTTTACCGCCCTCCTTTCCTCTCAGCCCTCACCTGGCTCCTTCCCCATTCAGACCTAAATTTCTTGAAACTGCTACCTTGTCTTGCCGAGGGGCATAGGCAGAGATGGGAAGTGTGGATGACTGACCCTCAGGGCTGGATACACACCTGTTATTTCTGCCGCAGAATTTCCCCCAAATGAGTTACCTGATACACAAATACCATCATTAGCTCAGTGAAAAAGGGATTTCAAGATGCTGTGGTTTTCGGAAATGCTACATTCTATATTCTCTCTTGGAGACTGACAGCATACGGTGACATAATGAGGGGACTGAGAAGCTGTGCAGGAAAAAATCTTTCTCTCTGTTTTGTCTAATGTTTCCAAATTTATCTGACCCACCATGGAGCTGGTTTTGCATAACACTTATTAGTGTCCCGTGAGAAATCCTCGGGAACTGCTGCCCTGCTTGGGGAGGACTGGTGTGGGCAATAGCTTGGCTCTGAGCTGCCCACTCATGGGGTTGGAGTGACCGATCTTAAAGGCGTGGAGGCCAGGGCTTCAGGGTGCACAAGGAGCTGGTGTACTGCCCCGAGAACCCTGGGGTCTACTCTTGGCCTGATCTGCCCTGGAGCCTTCGTTGTGCTCCTGGCATTGCCCAGGACACTGTGCCAGGCCCTGCTGCTCTCTGCATTCCTGGCTCCTGGCATAGTGCCTGGCAGACTGTGGGTGCTCAGTGATGGCCTGAGTTAGATGAATTCCCCATTAGAATCCTCTGATTAGAGGCTATGTCCTTGTCTTCCAATCAAACCTTATCCTCGTATAGACACATACGCATGTGCCTACGTTTATGGTCTGCGTGGGTTCTTTTCATAAATAGACAAGGAAGCACATAAGCACTGGGATTGGATTTCACATGCGAGAGTCAGCCTCGTCATTGTGCCATAAATACACGCAGACACACAGAAAGTAAAAAGACACATATCAAACACACGGAAGCACAAACTCTAGATACAAGCAAACACAGAGACACACTTGCAAAACAGACACACTCTCTCTCCACCAGGAATCAGACGCCATGTTATACATAAACACACAAAGAAATACAATCCAGAGCCCCTCCCTCCCCAACACACATGCTCTGCTCCGGCTATTTATTCCTCCCACACAAACTGCTTCAAAATTTGCTGGCTTAGCACAACTATTTTATTATATCTCATGATTTCATGGGTCAGAATTTAGCTGGGTGATTCTTCAGCTCCTCATATGTTACTGAGATGACTCAGTGGAATCTGACTGGTGGATGGACTGGTCTGGAAGGACCATGATGGCTTTTCTCATGTGTCTGGTGACTTGGTGGGGGTGGCTAGAAGGCTGGGCTGAGCTGGGACTGTTGACAGGCGTGCCTACACAGGGCCTCTCAGACACAGCATCTCAGGGTAGTCTAACCTCTTAAGTGGCAGCTGGCATCTCCCAGAAAGAGCATTGTGAGTGGTGGAGGGGGTCGCCAGAAGTTGAAGAACTTCTGTCTCAGGAGTTGAAGAACTTGTCCCACATGTTGTTGAGTAAGCAAGTCACCTGAGCTAGCTCACACTTAAGGGGAGGGTGATCAGACTCTGTCAGTGGGAGCAGCAGCAAAGAATTTGAGGCCACCTCTAATCTAATACATACATATGCGTGTGCACATGCACACACAAAGCCTACATATCCCACATGAGGCTTCAGCCTTCCCTATTAAGCACACCACTGGGGTGGGTGTGATGGCATGGCTTAGAGGTCAGTCAAACCTGGGCCAAACTCCAGCTCACCCACCCCCACTTGCTGGCTGTGGACCTTGGCCACATCCCTCGACCTTCTCAGCTCCAGTGTCCTCATCTGGATATTGAGAAAATGTTACTTTTGTTCTTCCACCCAACAAGTATTATTGACTATTTACCATGTGCTGGACACTGCTGGGGGTACAATGATGAGAACAACAGGCACCGTCCCTTACGGAGGAAGCTGTCACTAACTGAGTAGTTATGCAAACAGATATAACTGCAAACTGTGTTAAGTGCTATGAAGGAGGAATAAGGGTGCTGTGAAAGGGTACAATTGTAATGTGATCAAGTCGAGGAGGCTAGGGGCAGCTTCTCTGAGGAGGTGACTTGGCTGTGGTCTGGGAAATGAGTAGTAGCAGCCAGCTGAAATGTGTCTCGGGCAGAGGGAATAGCATGTGCAAAGGGCCGTGGCTGGATGGAGTTAGTGGAATAGGAGAGGCTGAGAGGCCAGTGTGACTGGGTCAGAGAGATGAAAGGGAGCAAGTGGGAGATTAGACTGGACAGGTGGGTGGGAACTTTGTTCACCAAGTTAAGATAGGGTTTAAAAACTTGTATACATTTTATATATTTACTTGAATGGTTTAAATCACGGGGGTGACATGACCAGATTGTGTTTCAAAAAGATGACTTTGGCTGCAGCATAGGGAACAAACTGCAAGATGGCGAAAGGAGATGTGGGTGATACCATTAGGAGGCTGTGCCAGGCAGAATAGTGCCCCCCCAAAGATGTCCATGTCCTAATCCTTAGAACCTATGAATATGTTAATTACATGGCGAAAAAGAAATAAGGTTGCAGATGGAATTAAGGTTACTCATCACTGACCTTAAAATAGGGTGATTATCCTGGATTATCCAGTGGGCCCAATATAATCCCATGAGCTCAGAGAGTGGATCAGAGAGATGGGACATCAGAAGCACTCAAACCACCCTTGCTAGCTTTGGAGATGGAGGAAGTATTATTCACCTCATTTTGTAATTGAAGAAAAGGAATTTCTAAGACATGAAGTGACCTACCCAAGACCAAGCATTCTTAAGTATTATGACCAGGGCTTAGATCCAATTCTCTTGACTACAGATTCTCTACGCTGTTATAGAGAACCCCTGAGGGGACCCAGGTTAGATCCTGACTGGGTCTAATTCCAGCCCCATCTACAGTGTCATCATCTTCACTCCATCTCCTCTCCAACCAGAGCAAACTCTCCCGTATCCTCTTCCCTTGTTTCAGATTGTATTGACAGAGGGTGTTGGGGTACGGAAAAAGGAGATCTTGTCATTGGAATCATGATGTAGGAGGGCGTGTGCATTTAGACTTACAGAATTTCGGAGATAAAAAGCCCTTAGGAATCATCTAGTGTAATTCCATTCTTTGACAGATGGAAGCACTGAGACCCAGAGAAGGGAAGTACCTTGGCCAAGCATCCCCTCCCCGCCCCACAAGTGAGTAACAGAGTCAGAACTAAAGCCTGAATTGCATGACCCCCAGACCAATGCTCCTTCCATTGCATCCTGGACAGTTCCCATGTGGCCCTGGAAACTTCAGTTGGAGTCTAGATGAATTTTCCCATAGAAGTGGGCTGTATAAAGGGACCACAGTGCCATTAGTCCCACGGCACAGTGTTTGTTCCACTGTGCAATGGCTTCCTCTGCCTTTCCTCCCCTAGAAAAGTGAACTCATTTTGATAGCACTGTTTCAATGTGAAAATGCTACTCTCTATTAGAAAATAAGTTCACAAATGAACTTTAGAATGCCCCATTTGTAAACTGGGAACAGCCTGGACCATCGCTGTGGCCTTCAGACATGATAATGTGGAAGCCTTTCTCTCTGAAGTCTCCCTCTTTTTCCTTCTGTGTTTGTGGGAGTTTTGGTGTCCAGAAGTTTCTCATCAGTGAAACTGCAGCAAGAGCTTTGGAGTCACACAAACCTGAATTTGAATTTGGACTTAGGCCCTATATACGTGACCCCCGGCAAATCATGAGCAGAGGTGAAATAGCGAGCAAGGCCCCGTGAGGAACATAAGAGACTGTGACTGGGACCTTGATCCTCATGAGGCTGCAACTGAGATTCAATCCAGCCTCACTGAGCATCTGCCATGTACCTGTCACCTTCAAGTATATCTCTCATGTACTCCCCAGCAGCCTGATGTAGGTAGTGTCATGTAGGCTCTTTAGAAGAGGAAACTGAAGCTCAGAGAGGGTGAGTCAATTGTTCAGTGTTATTCTTCTTCTTAGTGGCAGAGGCCCTACCAGGACTAGTCTTTGTGGTTCTATTTCAAGTGCTCTCTACCCTGTAATGATCAGTCAAGGGAGCAAAGCAAAACAACACAACACAAAAGGAAAAGACGGTAGGAAAGTGTCCATCTATCTTCTCTCTAGTCATCTATCTGTGTTTACTATGTCCATTCTCCAAGCATTTTCCATTTTTTCTTTATCTGTCTATCTAGTAATCTATCAATCATCTATGTATCCTTTACTATATATACCCATGGACAAAAGATGGTTCAAAACATAGGATTTCGGTTGTAGTCAGCTTGGGCTGCTGTAACAAAAATACCATTTACTGGGTGGCTTAAACAACAGAAATTTATTTCTTATAGTTCTGGAGACTGAAAGTCCAAGGTCTGGGCGCCGGCATGGGAAGGTTATGGTGGGAGCCCTCTCTGACTCGTAGATGGCTGCCTTCTTGCTATATCGTCGGGTGGCAGAGAAACAGCTCATCTCTCTCATGTCTCTTCTTATAAGGGCCCTAATCACCTTCATGAGGGCTCCACCCTTATGGCCTTGTTACCTCCCAAAGGCCCACCTCCAAATACTGTCACACTGGGGACTAGGGCTTCAACACATGAGTTTGGGTGGGATATAAACATTCAGTCCATAGTAGTTGCATACGTTTAAGTTAAGTGAGGAATAAAAGGAAAAAAGAAGGAGATACAGAGAGTAGAGCCAAGAACGAGGCTAACACAAACATGCATTTCATAGAGTTCGACTCATTTACAAGGAGTGGAACAGAAATGTGGCTCTGCCGCCAACACCTATAGAAGGATCTGAGCAATTATACACTTCAGGGTTACATCAGGTGAAAGCAAACCAGTTGTTCAGAAGAGGCTCACCTATTCCCTACACTGAGTCTTCCACCACATGATCATTATCCACGAGTAGAAAGTAACATTTGTGCAGTGCATTATTGTTTTACACACTGTTATCTCTTGATTCTTACATCAGCTCTTTGAGATAACTATTTTATTGTTCTCCTCTCTTTACAGACGAGAAGGTTGAGGCTTAGAAAGGTTAAATTCCTTGTTAAAGGTCACACAGCCTTTAGTGGGAGAGCTGGGGTTCAAACCCAAGTTCATTTTTGGATTCCACCATGACTGCTTGGTGCCCAGAGTCGTCCAAAGGCTGGGCTTCAATTTTTGTGTTAGAATTTTGAATGACAACAGGGAAATAGCTCTGGGATATAATGAGATTATTTTATTCTTAGCTTTCAGAGGAATTATTGTTGAAATACACAGGTTTGCCATTTTTGATGTTCTTGTGTTTATATTTAATCTCTGAAATCAAACTAAACTCTTGGGGGATCTGAGTCATTGCTCCCATGGCAATAAAAAGTGGCATTTGATTTGAAACTTCATTTTTAAATGGGGCCAAATCCAAGCATTGTGAATTTAAACTGCTGCCAGCCTTCTAGCCTACCTCGTCAGCGTGAAATCAGTGCAACCATTGTACCCCACTAGTGCTGGCGGGTGTGGGACTGTGTTTGTGCCCTGTGAGGAATTTGAGTTGGATGGTCCAGAACATTTATGTTCAAGTTGCATGATTTTTTGCAGCATGCTGTAATATTCCACAGGAGCTGCAATGGAAGTGGTAACTGGATTCCAGGAAGTGTTTCAAATGCGTTGTTCACTTGAACCAGGACTGAATTAATTGCCATATTAAGCAATTTACAGATGAAGAAACCACTTGCCTGGCCCTACTTTCCCAAGAAGGATCCAGACTTGGGTAGAATCTCTCAACTCATATCTGCCTCCTTTCCCAGGTTCTGTCTTACAGGAAAATCTATGCTTTTTATTCCAGATGTGGTTCCAGGATAAGAGAAGAGCCCTCTCTAAATTTATCCTTCCAGTTTTCCTCATTGAGTTAATGATACAATCATCTACCTAGCATCCAGGCCAGAAACTTCGGTGATTCTCAAAACCTCCCTCTTCACCCACCTGACCAGGTCCCTCACCAACCCAGGGGATTCTAGCACCAGGATGTGCTCACGCCCACCCCTTCTTCTTCATCCCGATGGTTAGCACCTTTGTTCACATCCTGGCCATCCTTTGCTGGAATCGCCTTTAAATCTGCTTCTCTGCATCCAATACAGATGTCAGAGTGATCCTTGTACAACCCCGATCTGATCATCCTACTCCTCTGTAGCTCCCCATGCATACAGCGAAGGTTCTCAAACTGGGTTCTCTGAGGCCCCGGGGTTCTGTAGCCAAGACTGGGGACTCCAGGTCTCTTCCCTGATTTGACCATAGCAGTTCCCCTTCTGTCTGTTTACACAGGCGCTCCTGCAACAGATTTTGTTTGAGGATGGCATTTAAAAAAAAAAAGTGTAAACTTTTTTTCCTTCTACCTATGTCTCCTGACCGTGGACACATCCCAGGGCCCCTTCATGCCCACTTACACCTGTGGCTACTATTCTCCAGTCATGGGGCACTCCTTGCTGTTCGCCAAATATGTGCATGATGCCTTGTTTCTTTGAATATGCTCTCTTCTCTGCTTGGAACACCTTCCTCCCTCCTCTCTTCTCTGAGAGCTCCACTTACCCTCAGAAGCAGCTCAGACATCACCTTCTGTGGATGGCATGGAACCTTCCCTGTTCCCTGCCCGTGGATTGTTAGCTCCCTCCTGTGCTCCCACGGGACCCTGGGCACATCTTGGTGGTAGCCCGGGCCACAACAGACTTTTCTATACATCTTCCTGCCCGCCCCCACTAGATTACGAGTGACCATGGACAAGATTTACATTTTACTCATCTCTGCGTACATGGCCCCCAAGAGAAACGCAATAAATCATGATGTAAAGAAACACCGTTAACTGTCAGCCAATCAACAACATGGGATGGGAAAGTTAATGTGTTAGATGGGTAGCAGGCAGGGTGACAGGGCAAGGGGGTGACCACACAAGGGAAATAGGAGTAAGGGGCTTCGAGGGCTGCTGATTCTGGGCTGCTTTAGTTGAACTCAGAACATATAAGTTTTTGAGTATAACTTAAGCATAATTTGAGAACTGTGAAAACTCAACACGTCCCTTAGACGGGCTGGGCCACACCAGTGTGGTGCAGCCCTGTGGGACCTCTACCTGGGGCACCTGTAGGAGACGCGGATGGTGCAGATCCTACTTGCTGGGATACTGCCACACCCGCAGTCCTGATAGCTCACACCTGTACGAGGCTTTGCCTTTCACCTGAATGGACTCTGTTGACACTCACAACACACCCGTCAGCTCCAGGGTTATTGTTACTCCCGTTTTACAAATAAGAAAACAAGCTCTGCGCAGTCACATAGCTAGGAAACAGTAGAGGCTGCACTTGAAGGCAGGTCTTCTGACTCCAAATCCCGTCATTTTTCCACATTGCCTTGTCTCTTGAAGTTTCACCGATGGGTCACATGTGCTTTGGGAAGGGTGAGATGATGGAGAAGGAGTGAAGGAGTGGGAGAGAGAGCCTTACGACCTCATAATGCACCCTGTGTAACCGCGACCTCACACTCCGATGGAACGTGCTCAAAGAAAACACATCACATCCTTCTTCTTCTTCTTCATTTCTTCTTTTAGCGAGATATAATTCACATACTATAAAATCCACCATGTTAAAGTGTACAGTTCAGTGGTTTTTAGTATATTCACAAAGTTGTGCAATTATTACCACTATGTAACGCCAGAATCTTTCCGTTAATTAATTTCTAATGTTTTTGTTTTTCAGATTCCGATGATGAGAGACCCTGGATGGATTCGAAACGTATGGTCTTCAAACATTAATGTGAGTGAAGTTTCTGTGAATGTCCGAATTATACTTTTACCTTTCAAGACGAGAGAAAATAATCGTTGATACACTGGTTTATTGCCATGGGTATATGCAGTCTCCAAACCAGGACTCTGCTATTCACCTGCTGCTTTCAGAGTTGGCCTGTAGCACTTTCTGAAGGTTTGATAAGCCCTGATGGAGCTAAGGACGTTTTGGCTAGTTTCTAATCTCTCCTCCCTGCGATCCATCCTCCCCCAGGCATTGACATGATTTTGTCACCTCCCTGATTAAAAA